GGCCCCGCCGCCGGTCCCCGCAGCGCCGCCCGGCGTGGCTCCGCGGCCCGGGACGGGGAGGAGGGAGGGAGGGCAGCTCCTCGCGGCTCCGGCGGAGAGGCCGCGGCTCGGCGGTGCCCGCCGCCGCCCGCTCCCTCGCTGCCTCCCGCGTCGTTTGTCTCGGCCGGGCCGGGCAAGCTGTTGCTCTCGCTCCGAGCGGCGGAGAAAGTCGGCGAGGCGGGCGGGCCGGCGGGGGCAGGCGGGGGCCGCGCCGCCGGGAGCCTTCGCGTCCCGGGGCGCGGGCGGCAGAGACAGCGGCGGTGCCCGCGGTGAGGAGGGCGGCGAGCGGCTGGCGGGACGCGGCGCCCGCGTTCTACGCGCGCTCCCGGGAAATGTCCATGTAAGTCCGAGAAAGTAACAAAACTGCCGTAAGTCCCGGCGGCGGCGCGGGGCAGGATCGGCCGGCGGCGGGACCCCTCTGCGGGCAGGGAGCGCGGCCGGCCCGGGCGGGGCAGCGCAGACGAGCCGCCGGGTGTCCCCCCGAGGGGGCGGCGCGGCCCGGCACGCCGCTCCGGCGCTTCCGCCGTGTCCCGGCCTCGTGCGGCGGCGAGACAGCAGATCCCAGGGGCAGCGGCGCGCCTGCCCTTCCTGCGGGCTCCCCCACGGCCCCCGTCAGCTCCGGCCCCGGCGCGGTGCGGCCGGAGCGCAGCGGTGCCGCCGCTCGGTGCCCGCGCTGCGCCGAGACAGCGATGCTCCCCCTGCCGAGCGCGGCCCTTTTACGCCCCGCCGCATCAAGGTGAGCTTGCGGAAAAAAACACCACCCACCCCGGCACCCGCAGGCGCGGCCGCACCGCGCTGCCCGCCCGGCCGCCGCACCGCGCCCGCTCTGCCCGTGGGTTATCGCCCCTGCTCGGCGGGAGACCCCCGGCCATCCCCCAACACTCGCCCCGCACCCCGCGGCCGCCTGCTGCGGGCAGTCCCGCCCGGGCCGCTCGGGGGGCCGCAGCTCGGCGGCGCCGGCCGTCCCCCGGGGATGCCTGGGAGCCCCGCGCTGCCCGGGGACAGGACGAGCCACCCCCCGGCACTTCAGCACCCACTTCACGAGAAATAGCTGCATGCCACTGGTTTTGCAGCCTGAGCGCCACGATGTGCAAATGTGACACTAATTCCTGAAGTGTTAATGAAAAACAGTAAGGTGTATGCTAATGTTAAGTGAAATTCAATAGAAACATTCATAAAATAATTTTCGGGTTTTTTTTTCCCCCCTTTGTGCTGGGTAGTTAGAGGCCAGGTTCGCAAGCTTTGATTAACACACAGTCTTCAACTCCCAGAAAAGAACAAACTGTAAGACTCATTTCAGGTTCTGGCAGTGAACATGAACTTGTGCCCCCACTAATGCAACATGGACACATCGCCAGTACTAATTCATTGCTACAATGTGTCCAATGCCATTCAATCGGATGTCTTTAAATGACGAGTTTAAACTTCTTCCTGTCTTCACTGCACTTTCTCCTCCACGGCAGACCAGTTCAGACAGGAACTTTCTAACATGTGAACCACAGTGGCCACTCAGACTCGTGATAAGGGATGGCAGAAACAGCACACATGTCAAAACAGATGTTAAGTAGTTGATACAACTATCCACAGAAATCCCATTAATATTTAAGCTTTCCAGTGGCACATATCTACTCTTCTTTCTTTGAATTGTAAATTGGGTTAGTTAATCCTTCATTTACTACTTGTTTGCATTTCCCTGGTTTGATATACGCAAGTGTTTATACCCTTCATTTTTCTCATCCCTATGTACTCGTTTACAGCTGAAGATGTACAGCATGCCTTTACCATTAGCCACTCCTCCAGAACCATGCTTAGATTTAAACTCTAGTGGCCTTAGTCACTTGATTTGAGGGCTGATACTCAAATTATGGAAAGCCAGACTTCAGCTGAGAGCAGATAGTCCAACCCACTGAGCCAGGCCTCTGTCCCAGGGCCACTAACCCTTGAGCTTTGTTTAATTGCTGGGGTGGGCAATGGCACAGCTCACAGCAGCACATGTGCATCACTGTTGATAGGACTGAGGCTTTAAACTGAGGTTTGGGTCAATAAACTATGAACATTACTGAACTCCAGTTCCTGATGTACTTTTTGTGATCCATTAAGAAATATTGTTATAATTCTGTGCCCTCTAGTGGTGCTTAAAATCATCAATTAATTTAAATAATCATAAGGAAAACAGTCTGTGAGCACAAGTTGAGCCAGTATTGAAATGTAGCCATAGATTCCAGAAGAACTAGAAGCTAACAAAAGTAAAACACTTAGTGATGAATTATTTTATTTTTTACAGTGTGGGAACAAGTGTATTTTCCCATCTGTTATCTGTTATTAAATAAATCCTTCTAAAAGTATGTATTATGAGAAGACATTTATGGTAATTAATCTAATCCCTACTTGTTCATATGTCAGATAACCAAGGCAAGATCTGCTGGTTGAATACAGAGACCAGGCAGCTGCCAGTCCTCTGGCAGGCAAAGGGGCTGTGCTGTGTAATAAAGCCAGTCCTCATCTAAGTATTTATTGCAAAATACAGGTCTGCATTTATAGGACAACAAAGTCCCCTGATATTTTGGCTTCAGACTATATAATACCTGCAGAGATGAGTCGTGTGAAATTCTAGCATGTCCGCATGGTCCAAGGTCATCCTGGGTTCAGATGTCAGTAAGAGGATCTACTTGACGAAATCTCCAAGGCAAGAACATCCCAAGGAATCTTGGCTTCTCAAGGCTGCAGGTACAGTATATCACACCTGCAGAGGGACAAGGAAAATGGCATGCTAAAGTGCAGCTTTAGTGTCACTGTTGCTATGCTTTATGGCACATATCAACAACATATTCTTCTGGATTTTAGAAGAGAGGTTTCAAGATTGCATTGCATTTTCCAAATGTGTACATCCAAATGTGTTACATATCCTGACTTTTGGAAGGATCAGCTGATATGTATAAGCTTTTTTGATCAGGAACCAAATGTCACATATGTTTGGTATTTTCAGGGTTTTCTTTCCAGTGAGTTACTGTTGATATATTGTCTTACATCAGTGTTTCTGGTTTTATATTTTAATTAAAGAAAGGAAGCAATTTAAACAGCAGTAGTCTCTTATTCCTTTTTTTTTTTTTTTTTTTTTTGCTGGAGCATGTACACTTCTCTAAGGCATCTATTAGGGCAGTTTTGGGGCTAGCTATACTAGAATTTTAAGCAAGCCTTCACAATGACTAAGTTTGCAAATAGGTAACAGGAATACTGAAATACACTTGGTTTAATTATGACAGAGGGTAGATACTAATAGAAGAAGAACTTTGTTACAGGGTATAAACAAAGAAGGAAAGGAAGACCAGCCATGTTGGAGGACACTGACCAGAGTTCAGGAGGCCCAGTTCACTGCTTTGCTCCATGTTGCCAGGACAGATAGGATCTGGAGCCTATCCACATCAAATCCAAATTACCTGAGCATGTAGTTGCCTCAAGTCACTGACAGATGCTTACTGAGCTGATGAAAACCAGCTGAGCACCTATATGGAGCTTTTAATATTTATATGGATTTGAAGAATCTCTCTTTGTGCCTGAATTACATATCTGTCACAGGGGGTGGTAGAAATTTTTTCACAGAGAGAGGGATTGTTAACATAAATTTATGAAACAGTGTAAGATGCTCAAAAGCAGGAAAAGAGGGAGCAGTAGAAATCACGTACACACTGTGGCTGTTTGAAGCAGAAAAGCAGCCAGAGTGCAAGCTGGAGGGCCTCCGTAACAGCACCTTGCAAAGGTCGGTTTACTGTGGTATCATGTTTTGAGTTCATTTGAGTTCCTTGTTAATAACCTTTTTCATGTTATATAATAGTGCAAGGTATCATGTATGCTCTAGTTTTGCATCTCTTTGTAAGATTTTTAGCTTTCTACCTAATTGTATGGAGGAGGGGATACTCATAGCTGTTGGTGACAAGTGTACAAGAGTCAGGAATAAGTTTTCAAAGCACATAGCTGTTAGGAATAATTAATTTATTACGGTGACCTGTTGTGTAGCCTATAATACATGGTATGCTCCTCCAGGAAAACCCAAATCAAGCATTACTATTGTATAATAAACCATGAGCAAAATGTCAGATGAGGTGAACAGCATGTTAGGATGCACATTTTATGCTGTCCAGTCAGCACATGGAACATGCTTGCAGCTGTAGTAGGGCTCTGATATTAATATTAAAAGTGTTGGAATGCATTGCACTAATATTTGAAGATATTGGGATATTCTCCTGCAAGCTTTTTCACATAAATTAAAGAAGCAAGACTGTCAGTAGCATGAGGCATTCATACACTGAACTTAGGAGAAAGGATGGATTTCTTTCTCAACTTTCCCTTCTTCATGAGGTCTCTTAACCCTGAACTCAAGGGAGTACCTTCAAAATAAATTTAGTTTGATGTGTCATTTATATGTTGATTTTGATGTTAAACTGCTATGAGGACTTTGAGGAAGACCTGCCTCCACAAAGACCTGTCCTGTGACCAGACTTTCAATCCAAGCAGTCCATCTCTGTGTTACTATCAGCACAGGCTAAATTAATTAGAAGACAAGACATGGGTGGCTCACTCACAGTACCTTTGCCTACTTGGCCACAGGTATGCTAGAAACACTTCTGCCTGGTAACTACACCTATAAAAACCAAGGCCAGTTCCCAAATTGTTAGTAATGGACCCTTCCTCTGCCAGAAGCACTTTGCTCCTTCCCAACTAGAGGAACAATTTGGCCTCCTCTCCTCACCTGGTCATGATCAATGGCAAAAATTCTGAGCCTTATTTCCATGCTGACTGGTCTGTCTGGAAAAATGTTCATTTTGTTCCCTGATTTATAATATTTCTAATATTCATATTTCTAATAATTCCAATGTTAATATTTCTAATATTAATCCCCAATAAGGGAATTAATTAATTAATTCAATTAATTCCTACTT